TTAAGATCTTCTAGCAACCAGAAAACTAGGCAAAATATAGGAAGCAGATCCTTGACGTGAGCAGCACACTGGAGAGTGACCCCAAGAGACAGAGAAACAGTTCCCTACCTCATCTCAGCGGGGAGACAGCCACATGGGTGAGGAGGAGACACTGATACTCGTAATGATATTCACATGGGTCACCAGAATCCCCAAATCAAACGAAGAGAAAGGAAGGACCCTTCAGTGGGACTCAGAAAGCACTGGCCATAAAAGAAAACGCACAGCGGGGCACCAGTGGCTCATGCCTTTCATCCTAGCTACTCAGTAGGCTGAGATCTGAGGATCGTGGTTCCAAGCCAGCCTAGGCAGAAAAGTCCGTGAGAGTCTTACATCCAATAAGCTACTTAGAAACAAGCTAGAAGTGGTGCTGTGGAGTGGCAGAGTGCTAGCCTTGAGCGTAAAAGCCAAGGAACAGCACCCAGGCCGAGTTCCAAGGCCCAGGACTGGCACAAAACAAAGCAACAAACAACTGGGGTGGGGTGCCCCCTTTCCCCCCTGCTCACCCCCCCCCGCCCCATATTAGAAGTTGGTCTGAACAAGAGCTCCCATGGGTAGATTGCTTACTTTCTGCCAGGCATTGTGCAGTCTGGAAACAGTCCTGTGAGGGTTGATTGCTCATCAGCTCCTCATTTTATAGATGACAATGAGGATCCTGAGAGACAGGTGGAGTCATTTGTGCAGAGTGGCAGGACTGGAAGCTGCAAGCTGGGACTCCAGACTCCGGCCTGGCTGCAGAGCCTGTGCTTAGCCAGCTGCCACAGAAAGGTGTCATGCTGAGCACTGGGGCACACACCTGTAATCCTAGCTACTCAAGAGGCTGAAATCTGAAGACTGAGGTTCAAAGTTTTATCCTGGGTAGGAAAGGCCATGAGACTCTATCTCCAGTGAATCACCAAAACCCCAGAAGTGGAGCTGTGGGTCAAGTGCTAGAGTGCTAGCCTTGAGAACCAAAGCTCAAGGACAGCGCCCAGGCCCTCAGTTCAAGCTCCAGGTCTGGAACAAGAAAGGAAAGAAAAGAAGAAAGAAAGAAAGAGAAAGGGGGGGAGGGAAGGAAAGAAGGAAGAGAGGGAGAGCAAGAAGGAAGGAAGGAAAATAAAAAAGGAAGGAAAAGAGGCTGGGAAGGTGGCTTAGTGGTAGAGTGCTTAGCACCTAGCATGCATGAAGCCCTGAGTTTGATTCCTCAGTACCACATACACAGAAAAAGTCGGAAGTGGCGCTGTGGCTCAAGTGGTAGAACACTAGCCTTGAGCAAAATAAGCTCAGGGAGAGTGCCCAGACCCTGAGTTCAAGCCCCAGGAGTGCGCCTCCCCCCCCAAAAAAAAAAAAAGGAAAAGAAAGGAAGGGAAGGGATGCGAAGGAGAGAGGGAGAGAGGGAGGTGCCATCTTGGGGCTGCTGCAGTACAGTGCCAGGACTATGAAGAGACGGTATTTAAGTGCCAGTTAGAACTTGCCAGGCAGGGAAGAGGATGAGGGGAAGGGAGTTCTGAGGCAAAGGGAACCAATGTCACCTTAAGCAATGGTTATGCAACAGTTGTGAGAAGCAGGGGCTTCTGGGAATGGGAGACATGTCCAGGAACCCACAAATGAAGTCCAGAGAGTATTACATATGCTTCAAATCTGCTTATTTTTTCAAAATCCATATTCAAATGGATTTTTTACTGAGAAGGTAGGTTGGCAGAGCAGACAGGTGACATGCCTGGCCTTCCCTTCCGAGCTACGGCCTGTAAGTCCACAACTCCAAGGTCATTCATTCTCAAACAAACAGGATCTATGGGAGTACATTTCTCCTCCTCTAGAAAGTTAAGGCTATATTCAGTAACCCAAGATTTTTGCTGAACATGATTTGTAGCAATGTTCCATGGTTTAGAAGGGAATAAAAAAATCAATCATCTTAGGTGTTCATAATGGACTTTTGAGGTGGATGAACTAAAAGCACTGGAGTTAGAAAAAAATGTTCCATTGTTGCAGCATGATTTTTTTTTTTAAGGAAACCAGCACAATGGTTGTGTTAGTAAGCTTTCTATTATTATAAACAAAACACACAAGATAACGAACTCATAAAGAGAGAATGTTTTAGCTTGGTTTATAGTTCTGAAGAATTCAGTCTTTTTTTCTTTTTCTTTTTTGTCAGTCATGGGGCTTGAACTCAGGACCTGGGCTCTGTTCCTGAGCTCCTTTGTTCAAGGCTAGCTCTACCACTTGGAGCCACAGCTCCACTTCCAGTTTTCTGGAGGTAAAAGTTTTAAGAGAGTCATAAACGTTCCTGCCTGGGCTAGCTTTGAACCATTCCTTAGATCTCAGTCTCCAGAGTAGCTAGGATTACAGGTGTGAGACACCAACACCCGGCTGGTTCAGTCTTTTATTTGGGGGTGGGAAGGCAAGGTGGAGCAACTGCTCACCTCATGAGCCAGGAAGCAAAGAGTTAAGCAGAAAGCTGGGGCAACAAAAGCTCTTTCAAAGGGGCGTGGTCCCAACGACCTAAAGACCTCCCACTAAGCCACACCTCCAATAGGCTCCATCACCATCTTGTAGTGCCAGCCAGCAAGCTAAGCCCTCCCTGCATAGGCCTTTGGGGGACAGTCAACATCAGAACTACAGCACTGGTAGATACTATTGGTTTTGGGCTGAGTTGTCTAGATTGAGTCTAGATCTCAATGATTCCTTTAACCTCTCTGTACTTGGGCTTCTTGAGCTGCAAATGGGGGTGAGGGTGCGGCAAAGACAGGCTGTTGTGAAGGTGAAATGAGGTAGTTGATGGAAAGTACTCCGGGCAGGGCCCTGCACACAAGAAGTACTGTATATGTACTGTCATTTCAGAAAGACAGCTTGTACATGGCAAACCATTTTTGTATTTTGTCATGACATTCTTCCAGGGTGTTATGACTATATAGGAAAAGGGACATGCTAGTATCATTTATCATTTAAGATGTTTCTGACACGAATCCGACATCTGACTTAAGCAACAAGGAAATTTCTTATCTATTTTTGCAGGGCTGAGGATCAAACCTAGGGCCTTACACATTCAGACTACTACCTACATTTGGCATTCTACTAGTGAATTATGTCCCAGAACTTTGGAGTTTTGGAGACAGGGTCTCTGTGTGGCCTATGCTTGCTTGCCCTGAACTCCTGATCTTCCTGCCTCTACCTCCTCAGAGCTGGGATTACAGACTTGTGTAACCATGCTCAAGAAGTTTTCTTTTAAATCACACACTCTATTGCTGAAACTATGCGCTGTTGCTCATAGGGTACATTCCATTGTTATACTCAAGCACACTGAGAAATGTGAAGGTTATTTACTTTTTATTTATGTCAGTCGTGAGTCGTGAGGCTAGAACTCAGAGCCTGGGCACTGTTCCTGAGTGCCTCTGCTCAAAGGCTAGCACTCTACCACTTAAGCCACAGCGCCACTTCTAGTTTTTTGGTGGTTAATTGGAGATAAGAGGCTCAAGGCTTGCCTGGGCTGGCTTTGAACTCCAATCCTCAGATCTCAGCCTCCTTAGTAGCTAGGAGTGAGCCTCCAGTCCCTAGCTGGAGTTCCTTTAAGCAGACAGTTGGAGAGGTGTCTATCAACAAAGGAAATCAAAGACAGAGGGGAAAGTCAAGTGGGGCTTTTAAAGGCAGAAACTGCAAAATTTACATATGTTTAGCTAGTACCATGGAGATAAGGTACTGACTAGATAAGGCAAGACAGGAGCTGAAAGGCCTGCAGCCAATATCTCTTAATTAAACAAAAATGACCTGGGGCTCACTGTCCTAAGTTGTAAAGCAAGCTCGGCCCAGTTTAACCATTTGCTCTGGGGCAGTATGTTTACTCTTTCACTCCAGATTTTCCCTTATTGTGAAACACTGCAGGGCCTTCCTTGTAAAACTGGAGGGGGGGGGGCTACATATTTCACCATCTTCAGAAGTATTTTTTCTGTGCTTCTGTATTCAGAAATATTAAATATCAAAATGTGTCTCTGAAATCACAACAAGAGGTCTGAAGGTTAGGGCTTCCAGGGCTGGCTGCTTCCGCCGTTGGGAGGCAGGCATCCGCCCAGGCCTCCGTCTCCCTTCCCAGGCCTCTGGCACCTGCTTTGAAGGGCGCCTCACAGGCCAGATGGCTGGGGCAGTCCCACGTGGCCACATCTTCACAAGGTCACAGAGCTAGAAGACAGGCTGTTGTTTCTGAAAGCAAGGAGGAAACTTCCCCCGAACTTGGCCAGAATTGCCTGGCACACAAGATGGAAGACAGCTTCGAGGCCGGGGCTGCCCGGGGCGCACAGACAGCTCCCTGCGCGCCCTGGCGCGGCAGCTACCGGGCAGGATGCCCACACGCCCTTGGGGTTCTTACGAAACGGACTTCCACACTTCAAAGACCGTCTCCCACTAGGCCCGGGGTGAGGCCTTCCCTCGGTCCTCGCGGCCCGGGCTCCCCCGTGCGCAGCCTGGTGCGGCCCCGGGGCCCGGCCGACCCCGGCCCGCAGCTCCCGGGCGCCCCCTGCCGCCCGCGCCCGGCCGTCCACGCGGGAGGAATCTCACTAGCCGGACGCGCCGCCCCCTGTCTGTCCCGAATGAAACCCGCAGAGCAGTTACAAGTGGGATTGGGCCCGGCCGGCCTCAGTTTCCTTTTTGGTCACTCCCCCTTCCCACCCCGCCCCGCGAACTTTCAGAGCCCCCCCCCCCCAGTCCCGGTGAGGGGCAGTTCTGTCCGGTTGACTCGACCTCCAGCCTCCGTTTCCGGACCGCCGCGGCTCTCCACACCTTCCAAGCTCCCCACCCCCGGTCGCACTGCCGCTCCCGGTGGCCGCCACTATCTTACCCGGGCTCCGCGGTCACGGGAGGAGGGGTGGCGGCCGCCCCTCAGCGCCGGTTGCGTTGGACTACATTTCCCATCAGCCCTTTCTCCTCCCATCGCGAGAGCTCCGCCGAGACCGCCCGGGAAGACACCGCGCAGGCGCGCTCTCGCGCTCTTTCCGAGGTCCGCCGCGTGCTGAGAGTCATGGCGGCTCCTGTCTGCGCGGCACCCGCCCGGCAGCCTCAGGCCCGTGGTGGTGGTAAGGTCGCGGGGCTTCTTCGACGCGGCGCTGGCTCTCTCGCCCCCCCGCCCTTCCTCTGTGCCCTGCTCCGTCCCCGGCGTGGTTGGCGCGTCTGAGGCCGGGTGTGAGGAAGTGGCTCCCGGGCGGCGGGACGCTGGAGCTCGCGGCCCAGGCCCGCTCTGGGCGTTGTGGGGACCCCCCGCCCCGGGGGAGGGGTGCTGGCGGCCCGCGCGCCCCGCCCCGCCCACGTGCTCGGCGTGGACGCCCCTGCGGAGGGCGGATGGGGGGGGGATGGAAGTCGGGGTGGTCGGCCCCCCCCTCGTCGCCATCAGCCAGTGATTCAGAGCCAGTCGCGTTCACGGGTGCGCCTCGGCTCCCCGAGGACCCCCACCCCGCCAGCCAGTCGTTGGTGTGTTTAATCACTACAAGGAGCAGAGCGGGGTTGTGGTCTGGAAGTCTGTAGCTTTGACACCCTCCCCTTTCCCTCCACTGCCTTGAATCAGGTCTTCCTTTAGCATCTGTTGAGAAGATGGGAAGCAGAGCTCCAGGTTCCACCTTAAAAAGTGATGGACTCAGAAGAACCGGAAGCGGATGGAAGCAAGACTTCCTGTGGTCACCTGCAGTGGGAAAGCAGATATGTCTTGCATGGTCTAGCTCATGCTAAAGTATGTTCAACTGCATGCATGTTGACACCTTTGGGTACTATTAGGGGAAGAAAATCAGCCAGAATGCTCAGTCTCAGGTTCTTAAATCTGAGCTGCTAAGACTGGGGAAGGGGTCCACCGGTGTAATTTGGGGCCACTAGATGTCACTGTTTAAAATCAAAATGAACGACACTGTGCAGACATTGGATGAGGGAAAACTTGGGAGAAAAGTCTGAGTTGGGTGGCATTTAGGGGCTGCAGCTGGTTGAGCCAAGGATAATTTGAAGTTATCCCTGTCTGAGAAGATGTTTTGTGTGAGGAGTTCTGAGTTACTGAGGCTCAGCCTCAGCGGTTTTTTTTTGGGGGGGGGCGGTGTCTGTGGTGGGACTTGAACTCTGGGCCCTCAGCTCTTCAGCTCAAGGCTAGTGCTCTACCACTTGAGTCACAGCACCCCTCTGGGCTTTTTCTGCTTATATGGTTCTGAGGAATCAAACCTGGGGCCTCATGCATATGCAAGGCAAGCACTCTACCACTGAGCTAACTTCCCAGCTGGAGGCTTCGTCTTTTAACATGTATTTTGAGAATAAATGCCTTAAGACTGTTAGAATGAATTTTTTTTCCCAGAAGGTGTTGGCTGTGGATTTAGAAAAGTCACATGAACATCCATCATCTTGAGAATCCATCATCAGCATGAGAATCTTTGATGACATTTTGGTGTGTGGTTAGATTTTTTTAATGTATTTTTTAGTTCTTTCATAGAGTTGCATAGCTTATGGTCCCCATTAGCTAGCTATTGGTCTGTTAGATTTGGGGATGTGCTGAATTATGATCCTCATGGTAGGAAAGTAGTGTGATAAGGAAAAGGATGGATTTGAAAAGGGGAGGAGAATGAAAGCAGGCCAAGACATCAACCAGAGCGATTTTAATGGAAGTTAAAAGGGATACCAGCGAGGAGGGTCCGGAGTGGAATGTCGCTGGAGGGTTGCTAGAGTTTCAGGAAGTGTCTTGAGAGTTCCTGGTAATGGCCTAAAATGGCCTCTTTCCTGGAACCTGTTTTGTGGACTGCCGGTGGAAGCTCTCAGGTTCAGTCACCTGAGGTGAGTGGGCTTTCATATGTAGATTCAGCTTCCACAGAAGAGTTTCTGGAAGGTGAGCAACTTTGCCTTAGGAAAAGGGCAAATTCCTGCAGTGGAATTCCTTCAGCTTGGTGCCTGCCTAGCATTCTTACAAACAGCATTGAACTCAAGGCTACACTTCTACTTTTTGCTGGTTAATTAGAAGTAAAAGGATTTGTCTAAATGAAAGATAAGTTGTTTTAGAAAAAGAACAAATGTCAAAAGAGTTGAGGTTGAGAAACCAATGGGAACTGTATATTATACTAACCAGAGACCCAGCTCTGGTCTCAACCTGCTGTCTGATAAGGGCGCCAGCTGCTGGCTGTGGCCAGCCTGAGAGCAAGTGCATAGGAATAATTTGATGATTTGATCTGTTTTTAGCTCAAGGATTTTATTACAGCAAGATTATAATGTTGGCTGGCTATTTTTAAGTAGCTCTTGGGGTGAATCTTTAATCCCCTGTCTTAAAAAAAAAACATACTCGATTTGCTTGGTCTGCAGGGTGGTTCTGTGCATGCAGATGGGCGGTGACCTTGTATAACATTGTCATGTGCTGGCAGCAGGTACTGGTTGGTCTGGCCTTCAATAGGCCAGCTGCAATGACCAGTAACCTGCACAGCCTTATGCACTTCACTCAAATGCTACAGAGATTTAAATCCATACCTGTACACAGCTCAGACACTGCTAAGTATTGGGATAGGGGCTTTTGGTTTTTTGAGTCAGGGTCTCATCGTAACCCAGGCTAGCCTTGACTTTGCAAGCTGGCCTCTGCTCTGTCGTTGGAGTTGAGGTGACCCTGTGACAGGAACTCCCATGTGCCAGGTCTGGACCTGATACATCTAGGTAGCACAGTTCTTACCATGGAGGGAAAGCCTACACTCAAATATAAGGTTGACAGGGTTGGTTTTTTGTTTGGTAATGGGGCTTGAACTCAGCCTGGGCACTGTCCTGGAGCTGAAGAGCTAACACTCTACCACTTGAACTTCTAGACACTTCTAGTTTTCTTGTGGTTAATGGGAGATAAGTATCTCACGGGATGTTCCTGCCCAGGCTGGCTTTGAACTGCCATCCTCAGATCTTAGCCTCCTGAGTAGCTAGGATTACAGGTGAGCCACTGGTGCCCGGCAACAGAATTCTTTTTTTTTGGTCCGGTCGTGGGGCCTGAACTCTGGGCCTGGGCTCTGTCCCTCAGCTCTTCAGCTCAAGGCTAGCGCTCTATCACTTGAGCCACAGCACCACTTCCGGCTTTTTTTTCTTTCTGCTTATGTGGTGCTGAGGAATCGAACCCAGGGCCTTGAGCATGCAAGGCAAGCGCTCTACTACTGAGCCACCTTCCCAGCCCTTGGCAACAGAATTTTTATGAAGGGAATAAAGCACAGTTTGATAGAAAATAATGTTGTATGCTGGCAGATTGCCAGGAGCCAAGTCTGTGATGATGTAAAGTTATCCCTGTCTGAAGGCAAAGAAAGGCCTTCTGTGTAGAATATGGATATCTGAGACTTGGCTCCCTGGCTTTGCCTCCTGCAAAATCTAGGCCTGATTTTAAAGAAAGCTAGGTACTTACTGGTCATCTCGTAGCCATCTCCTGAGCAAGTTTTTCTTTGTCACATCTTCACCCTCTCCAGGTGCAGTTTCAGTCTGAGTTTCTGGGACTGAAAAGGGAGCTGTGGCAGCCACCTGGACCCACGGTGGAGTACCCCGTGCATGGAAGGAGAGCCCCTGAACAGGCTGCCTTGGGGTCCACGGCTGTGCTGAGTAGAGGGGGCACTTTATCAGAGTTCTTTCTTTTCTTGGCCAGCTTCCTGCCCTTAACTGCTTTGCCTCAGGCAAGTGAAACACTACCTCTCCTATTTGGAAGTTTTATATTTCCATCTTTTGTGCCTCTGAGAAGCCCCACCAGCCTGTGATGCTCAAGTTATCCCTGTCTGAAAATCTCAGCTGAGGGAAAATAATCTATTCTGAGGCTTGAGGGGTGTGGGTGGCTTCATGCTCCAGAAGAGATGGGGGCTTTAAGTGGGCTCCACAAGGCGGGTGGGTGCCCTGCAGAGACCCTGTCAGGTGTGTTATCCTTCTACAACTCAACATCAAAGATCTGGTTGTGCCTCTGTCCTGGTTGGTGCTTTGGGGCACAGGCTGAGTTGGCAGGAGCAGGCTAGTCGCAGGACTCCTTGTATGCTTGTACTGAGAGAGTGCGTGTCACTTATTTCAGGAAATAAATGTACTCTTTGACAGGAATGTAGGAAGTGTGCCAGTTTGTGGAGTGAGAATGTTCAGTGACTGGCCTTGCCCTGTGCGGCGTCCTGACACTTGCAGGTCAGTGTGTGGCTCTGGCAGAGCTGTCTGGTTTCCAGGTGCTTTGGTAACAGCACCAGGGCCCTCTGAGTGTAGCCTAGTTCCTGTCTGATTGGCATGCCTGCTCCACTGGCAACGGGCTGGCATGTGAGCAAAGTAGCATGGGAGGGTGGAGTGGGGTTTGTCTTTTTTTCCCTCATTTAAATGCCAGCCTTGAAGTGAACAGAGATAGCTGGGCCTTTTCAGTGGAAATGGATACGGATTGTATATTTTTTTGGTTTGGTCACCGAGGAAGTTGCATTTGGGGTGAGGTTTATTGGTCTGGGAAGCTCCCTAGCAGCTTAGGGTTTGCAAGTCAAGCCAAGTGAGGAGGTGGGTTAACAGTGGGGCAGCTCTTTGTACTTGTCTGGGTGGATCGACGGCCCCACAGAACGCACCCTCAGGGAGGGAAATAGACCTATTTCTGCTCCTGTCGTGGGAGAGCTTTTCTGGCCACTTACCAGAAACTTATCCCTTCGGCACCATCTGCTTAATGAAGTCATCTTGGAAGCTCAGCAGCCTGCACTGAGACGTGATCAGGAACAGTTCTCCCCCGACAATACGTGCCCAGTGAATAGTGGGAAGAGTGAGTCCTGAATAATTTATCCTTTAGTTTTGGGCCATTTAGTTTATTTTAAATTTCTCCTTTGCCTTTCCAGGCCCATCTCCCTGCTTCTGCTGATGTTTAAAACGACAAAAGTTCTTTCCAAGAGAGTCATTTAAGAGTTGGAGAGGGGTAACATCAATCAAGTATTGTACAAGCCTTGTTTCATCTAAGTGACCAGAGAATTGATTGATTCAAGAAAACCTTGGGCAGTTGGTGAATTGGGGGTAACTGAGATCATTCAAAAGCGCAGTTTTGGTTGTGGATATCATCTGCATGTGTAGCTTCGAAGGGGTGTGACCATGGTGGCCTAGAACCACCTCTGCATTTCCTGAGTAGTCCACCTGTGTCTTGGGTTTACACTTGGAAGTACAAATAAAAAATGTTTTTAAAAAAACATTTGGCATTGTGGATTTGAGATTGAGACGTATTATTCTGTGACTTGGAAAACACATAGGAGTTTACCATAATACTTAGTCTCAGTTAGAGAACTTCATGTCTTCTTTTTTTAAAACCTGAGATTTCACGCCCTACTGATGGGGTACCAACCCACAGACATTAAACTTGCAATGTAATGAAGCCTTGTTACACTGTCCAGTGGGAAAGGCAATGATTGGGTGAGGGCGGGGTGGGCTTCCTCACTCCAGCGCTCATTATGGAAGGGACTAGAAGAGACTGGATACCTTGTGTATTTTCACAATTGACTACATTCAGGTGTTCTGGCAGAGGGGCTGTGTGTGATGAGCCCACCAGCCGAGGCTTTACCTGACCCCTGCTTTACCCCTCCAGGGCAGCAGGCTGCTGTTTTCCCCCAAATAGCTGCTTTAGTAATCAAAGCCCAAGTGTCATGTTGCTCAGCCATGTCTGGGTTTATGAAGTGCTGCTGTGCCTGGTGACTGAGTCCCTCCTCGTCCTCCCAAACCAGTGCCAGAATCAGAAGCCAGTTCCTTGGTCTTGGTGGATTGCTGCCTTGGGAAGCTGGCCAGCCGTCCCTGGGGAGGCCCTCAGGGTCTAAGACTTAGAGTCACCTAAGGAAACCGCCTGTTAGCTATAGAAGTTCCCATCTACTGAAGCCAGGCTGGGGTCAATACCCAGTAACATCTATTAATAAGTCATCTCTGATGGGACTTCTATGGCATGCAGGTGTCCGAGCCGCTGGCCTAGCACCAGGGCCTCCCATTGTTCCTGATTTGTTTTTTCTTTTGGCGGGCTGGGGGCTGGGGGCTGGGGGTAGGGGCGGTAGTGGCCACAGGATGCTGGAGATAAAAGCACCATGCATGGTCAGATTCCTGTCTCCCTGGGCTGTGTCATCCTGCTATCCTCTGTTCTAAGTCCCTTGTTAGAATTTGATCATAAAACTCCATGTTTGACACCCTGTGCTTTCTAAGCTTTACTCTATGTTAACCAACACAAAAGAAGACAATGGTCATTGGTCGTTTATGCAGTTCTCTACTCTCAAATCAAATTCTGCCTCTCGCTCTCTCATGGGCAGAAGCATGTTTCTCCAATGGATCTTCCGTTCTTTATAGGTGTCCTCAGCAATTGAGCTACTTTGGCGTTTGGGGGGGGCTTGATGGGCCAGTGGGAGGGTTTGCTGGAGAGTGAGCAAGCAATTTGCCCGCGCTGCTGCTTGATCTTGGTTACCAACAGAACCCTGCCTGGTGTGACTTGCGTTGTGAAATTCAGTACCAACAATTGGCTTTGAGCTGCTCATCTGGGGTTTTGTCTGCGCCTTGTCAAGGTCACTGTCACAACTTGGGAGTGGTAATTTCCGTTTGGGAAAGAGTCCAGCAGAGCAGTCGGCTCGCTCTTCCCTTGGACAAAGTGGGGATGACTGTCTAAGACCCAGAGAAGAGTTTTCTCTCAGGAGCCTAAGACAAGGTGGGTGGTGCCCCAGCCTCGAACAGGCTTTGACGGCACTTGGGAGTCTGTCTTCTGTTGTGAAGGAGGAGGTGGTCAAGGGGGACAAAGCCCCTTTCAGAGGTGGAGGAGTCAAAATGGCTTTTGGCCACTTGGGACCAGAGTTACAGCTGTGTGAGAAGCCAAACACTTGGTGTTTGGGGATCAGCGTTGGTACAGCCAAAGGATGCCGGCCTCGTGCAGGTCCCGCCACAGGGCAGCCTCCAAGGGCAGATCGTGGTTCCCATAAAATATCAATGGCTTCTTTTCTCGTTCGAAATAGTGGTCAGAATAGTTCTGGTAGTTGCTTGTGATGAATCCGTAGGCACTGACCTGGACACCAAGACAGTGGTTAGTGTGTAGATAGGCGTGACATGAATTCAGAAGGATACATGCCAGTGCAAAGAAACTCAAGCTCGCCCTGGCATTGCTCTCTACATGGTCCCCTCAGCTGGCTGTATGACCTCATAGGAACTTTGACCTCATAGGCCCTTTACTCTCACTGAACAGATGCCATAAAGAGGGGAAGAAAGTAAATGCATCCTGAGTTTAGACCTTGAGTATGACTTCAAGGACGGAAACCAACAGCCCATTACAGCCTGACTCCAGCTCCAACAGTGACAGCTCCAAGTCTTGCATTAGAATCCAGGAAAGCTATACAGCCTGAATGGCATTTGGGCCCACTCTCAAGCTGGCTTTTACAGGGGCTCAGCCTCTGAAAACTACTGCTCAACCTCTTCCCACCTCTACACACCAGAGGAACATAGCCTATCCCATGATAGCAAAGCTTTGTAACCCTCGGCTATATAAAGGCTGTCCTTACCCGGTTCTGTTGAGATTTTGCTTTTAGAAGAGTAGTCTGAAAATGGGCTCCTTAAACAGACCATATAGAGGAAAGGCAGAGAAAGCACTGGAACAGGGAGTCCTGGCCCCGGCCCATTCTTTAGAGGCCTCTGATGGCCAGTGGGCATGTGAGTGGACAAGGCACCCTGCTGCTGGGGAATCCTGTGCCACCTATGTGGGTGGCAGGCCTCACAGAAGGAAAATGGGGTCAGAGTTCATTCTCCCCATAGCCCTGCCCTGTTCCTTTTGGCTCCTGAAAGAGAACACCTCCTACCTGGTCACAGGTATGTAAAGCGGTCAGTAGCACAAGGGCTCCAGTACTAGGCATATATATGTTTCCAAAATTTGTGTTAATCAACTTTGATTTCAAAAACCTGGAGGCAAAAAACAAACATGAAACCTAAGATACTCAGAGGTTAAATACTAGTTAGCTTGGTAGGTCTAAGTTTACAGTGAGTAGCCACCCATTCGAATACATTTGAAAATCATTCACAAACTTCTGGTCCTTCAATCCCAAGCCATCCCCTGATTCTGGGGAAACACCAAGTGAACTTAAGTGTGAGGATATTTGGTTGAAATAAACTGTGTGAGAAAGGAACTCAGTGAGGTCCTCCCTGCTTTCTCCTGCCCTACAACACCTTTGCTGCACACGGCTCACAATGACCTGGAGAGAAACAAATTTCACCCCACATCTTGACCCAAGCAGGAATCTTGAACGAGCTGCTCAGGTCCTGGGTCTGGGCTCTCTGGTACGATGATGCCTACAAGTGCTTAGCCTCAGACCCGGATTCATGGCCAGGCGTGGCCAGGCCGGTGTCCCCTCAGCTCCCCAAGCCTGTTTGTTCCTCTGCAGAATTGGGATATAATGGTGCCAGGTTCCACTTGCCAGCCCTCTTTGCCACCTCCTTGTCCTGGGGTGAGTGCGTGTGCGTGTTTCTGTGATCTATAGCAGGGTTTCTCCCCCATGGCACTATTGATGTATGGGACGGGATAGTTCTTTGGAGTGAGGTCCTGGCCTCTGCCTCCTCTTCCCTGTCCAGTCTCCAGACAGGACCAGATGCCACCCACCCCACCTCTATGTCCAGAGGGAAGGAGGGCAGGCTGTTGGTTTCTCAGGTGGCCTTGTGTTGGCTGGATTTGGGCTTCCAGGAAATGGCACTTTGCTCCAAATACCCACTCCTGCTACTCACCTTCTAGCTCCCGCACACCCAGCTTCTGCCCTGGTGAAAGTTCCTAGGAACTAAATGTGTATGGTTTATTCTGCCTTTCCTCATCACTAAAACATCACCTCATCAAGCAACAAATCAAATAGTAGATGAAGAAACCAAGTGTAGTGCTCAAGGGGTGTGTGTGTGTATGTGTGTGTGTGCACACATGCACACACACACGCACACCAGTCCAGTACTAGGGCTTGAATGCAAAGCCTGGGTACTATCTTCATGGACTTTCTTGCCCAGGCTGGCTTTGAACTGTGATCCCCAGATCTCAGCCTCCTGAGTCGCCAGGATACAAGGGGAAGCCACCCACCAGTGCTTGGGGTCCAGGAGCTGACGCAGCATGGATGTGGACCAGGGTAAGCACCAGGAGGCTGGCCCTCCCCCACCCCCACCCCCGTCCCCCTCGCCTGCCCCTCCTCCCTGCCTTGGTACCTCTGTGTCACGTAGCTGATGAAGGCTGGATGCAGGAGCTTGAATTTTCTGGCAGAGGCTTCTGGTCCAAAATAGGTGTGCGGCCTAGGATCCACGATAGAAGTGGACGGAGCGCCCAGGGCTGTCGTAGTGCATTTGGGAGGGCAGGGGGAAGGGGGTGAGGCGCCGCGAGCGGTAGGGCCGAGGCTGGGAGTAGTAGCGGGAGAAAGGCGTGTAGAAGGTGGCCGGCAGCACGGTGGGCACCACGTGTGGCTTTCCGCCCACCAGGACGTCGATGGGGGGGGAGTAGGTGAGGGAGGAGGGGGGGATGAACAGGGCTGGGGGGGTGGCGTAGGAGCAGTTCACCTGGGGGAGGTGGGGGGGCGGGGGGAGCAGGGGAAAGTAGAGCGAGTCTGGAGGGGGCGGAGGGGGAGGGGGCTCCTGGGGCTTGCAGGGGAAGGGGCAAGGGAAGCACTTGGTTTGAGGGAGCGGAGCTGTGGGAGGCTGGAAGAACGGAGGCTCCTTCATGAAGCGCGGTACGTAGGGGGTGATGTAGGAGGGGATGGACCGGACAGGCCCGATGTAGGAGGCCGAGGTGCCAGGGCTGTGGGAAGGGGACCTGGACGCGGTCACAGAGTTCCCGGGGGTCAGGGAAGGGTTCCGGGAGAGAGGCTTTAGGCCAGACTGGGAGGGAGATTTGGAGGCAGGGGGAGTGGGACCTTGGGAAGAAGCCCCTCGAGGCACGTGTTGGACATGAGGGCTGGGAGACAGGGAGGAAGCCCTGGAAGAGGGCTGAGAGGCATTGGGGGTGGCAGGGTGAGAGGCATTGGGGGTGGGAGGGTGGGAGGTCTGGCGAGAGGAAGAGCCTCGGGTCGGAGAAGGGGAAGGGGAAGGGGCTGCGCCTCCAGCAGGGATGACAGAATGGTTGGATCGGGACTGGGAGGGGGATTGGGTGGGGGACGGATTGGGGGTGTGGGAGGGGGAGCTCATTGGTGTTGAGGAGGCTTATGGCCACTCGGTGTGTCTGGGGCAGTCCCCCCAAGAGCCCATCCCCACGCGTGTCATAGAGCCCAGCCTGAGTTCTCATGACCAACAGTGGCATTGGGAGCCATTGTTGGGTAACACCAGGGCGGGGGTGGGGCCCGGCTGGCCCGTGACACAGGACTGGGTTTTGTGACTCCGTCCATAAGGACCACCCTCCCAAACTGCTTTTGGAGGGGGTGGGGGGTGATGCCCTGAGAGCCCTGAGTGGAGGCTGCCGGTCTCAGCCACAGTGGGCACAGATTCCTAAGCACCTGACCCAGGAACAAGGCATGGGGACAGGCAGGGAGCAGACTGAGGATAAGGATCACACAACACCGGAGCCGGGGCCACCGAGCAGGAAGGGGGCAGAGAGGACAGCGGGCCCTTTGTTCTGTCTCTCAGGAGACTGGGCCAGTGCTCCTGTCTCCTGGGCACAGCCGGGGGAGCATGCACACCTGTTACCACCTCCCCCATGAATGGTACAGATACTGTCCCGACTCATAGCTTCTAGAACAATGTTCTCCAAGGCCAGCGAGAAAAGGCCTCTGCTGTGGCTGGCTGTGGCTTTGAGCAGCTGGAGACAGCAGCCTGAAGCTAAAGCAGCAGGCCTGTTCACCCCATTCAGAAAAGGGGACCAGAAGGGACCCTGGACTCTTCCCAAAGTAGGACAGTAGACACTGTGCTTAATGAACACATTGAGGCATTGAGCAATGATTGACTTCTGATCCCCACAGCGCTTCCCTCCCATCCCCCCACCAGAGACCGTGGGAGCCACCTCGGGGTCACCGGCCTGTGCCACAGCCCCACACCACCACCTTTTGGTGACTCACCTGTCCCCTCTATCAGGGCCCTCAGGGACAGGGACTCCTAGAATGGCTGATCTGAGCATCAGGTATTCACGGATGCCCGCGGGGATGAAGAGATACCGTAGGTCCTGTTGAGGTGTCAGAGAAGGCCACATTCATACCTTGCTTTGACAGACCAGCCCTCCACTGAGTTTTTCCTGTCCCCCCCTCCTCCCAAGTCTGACTGGGGAGTTCCCTTTCATGCCATTTCCATTTCCACTTTGAGCAATTGTGGTAGTTTTTTGGTGTTTTTTGTTTTGTCGGTCATGGGGCTCGAACTCTGGGCCTGGGCGCTGTCCCTCAGCTCTTCAGCTCAAGGTGAGCACTCTACCACTGAAGCCACAGTGCCACTTCCAGTTTTCTGGTGGTTTATTGGAGATAAGAGTCTCACAGACTTTCCTGCCCAGGCTGGCTTTGGACCGCCATCCTTAGAACTCAGCCTCCTGAGTAGCTAGGGTTACAGCCACCGGCTCACAAACCCTTTGGAATTCCTCTCTAGAAGAGGTGATGTCTACTTGCCATCTTCTTGGGTATGAACTGGCTGTGGTGACTAATACATAGAATTTTTTTTTCTCACAGAAATTATAGAGCCAGGCACCAGTGGCTCACACCTGGAATCCTAGCTGTTCAGGAGCTTGAGATCTGAGGATTGTGATGCAAAGCCAGTCCTGGCAAAAGTAACCAGCAAGAAGCTGGAAGTGGAGCTTTAAGTGGTAGCATGCCAGCCTTGATTGAGAAAGCGAAGGAACAGGACGCAGGCCCTGAGTTCAAGCCCCAGTAGCTGACCATATGCAGCTAGATGAGATACACACATCACGTAGGTAGAAACACAGTGGTGTACGGCTTTGTGGACTAGGTCATAAAAGGCACCACAGCTGCCTTGCTGTTTGTCTCTTGGTCCCTCAAGAGGGACTACTTGAGAATAGTCTACAAGAGGTCAGGATGTGGGGGCTGCATCATGGCCACCGCTCCAGCCTTCGATGATAGACACCAAGCACCTCAGAGCTCCTGAGCCAGAACCATCTTTGTTAAGCCACTCCCAAACCCCTGACTCCTGAAGTCATAATATGTGACAATATCTGTGGCTTGGAAGTGTTTGTGTGTGGTGTGCACATGTGTGCAAGTGTGTGTGCTGGTTCTTGGGCTTGAACTCGGGGCCTGGGCACTGCCTTTTTGCTCAGGCTAGTGCTTTACCACTTGAGACACTTCGAGCTTTTGTTTTTTAATTTGTTAATTGGAGATCAGAGTCTCATAGAACTTTCCTGGCCAGGCTGGCTTCAAACCATGATTTTCAAGACCTCAGCCTCTTTTTTGTTGTTGTTGGTTGTGGGGCCTTGAACTCTGGGCCTGGGCGCTGTCCCTCAGCATTTCAGCTCGAGGCGACCACTCTACCACTCGAGCCACAGCGCCACTTCTGGCTTTTTCTGCTTATGTGGTGCTGAGGAATTGAACCCAGGGCCTCATACATGCAAGGCACGCACTCGACCACTGAGCCACCTTTCCAGACCTCAGCCTCTTGTGTGGTTAGGATTATAGGTGTGGGCCACCGGTGTTGATCTCCCTGGAGAAGCTGAGCGCTCTGGGGTGGGCGGTCTGGATTTGAACCCTGGCCTATGCTGACTTTCCAAGTCAAAGATACTGGAGTTTAATCTCCCAAGCAAAGCGGGGTTCACAGGGCCGCCATCAGATGGCTGGGCCTTCATCAGCACTCAGTAGCGAGCAGCTGTTCCCCTCCCCGGCCCAAAGCAGGCCTGAGCTGCCTTAAAGGACGAGGAACCCTTGACCAGATCTGCCTCCAGGCTCAGCGGTCCAAGATCCTGGCTAAGGAAGGATCTGGGAGCCCGGGGAACATGGCCCCCACTGCCCACCACAATGGCACACCACGGCAGGGCTCACCTGTCCTTGCGGCACAGAGGTGAAGCCCAGGTGCTGGTAGGAGATGAGGGAGTTCTTCATTGTGTTCACGGTGAAGCCATAGAAGGAAGTCTTGGTGCCCACGTCGTGCTCAAAGCCTTTAATGACCGCTCCATTGAGCCTGCCCAGAGCAGAGGCTTATGGGTATCTGCGGCTATGCTGCTCAATCACCTCCACAGGCCAGGCAGAGCCCCAGTAGCCTCTGTACCACTTGCTGGGCCCACAGCCCAGCCCAGTCCCCACCCCTCAGCCCCCAAGGGACACCAGGGTGGCCCCCTCCTCCTGAATCCCCTTTCCTCTGGGCCAGTGAGCACTGTCCTCAGAGTTGGCTAAGCATCCGCCCCATCGCAGCCATGACGCCACCTCCAAATCAGTGCCACCTGGGCCTGGCCTTCAGGGCCAGCTGAACGGGGCTCCCCACCAGCTCCTGCATCCCACTCCACCCAGGGCCTACCCCCCCTCGGACCTGAACACATAGTCGTGGGCATCGATGTTCGGGCCCTGCCCAGATCCGTTCAGGATGCCTCCGTTCCCCACCACGGCACACCGCACGCAGCCCGCAGGTGGCTTCCTGGGGGTGGCTAAGAGCCTGGCACTCTCTGAGCTGTTCAGAAGGCTCAGGGTGGAGGCAATGGCTGTGAATGAGGACCAGAAGCAGCCCTGAGGGCTGGCACCAGGGCCCTCGGGTCCTTCCTGCTGTGGGCTGTCTTTCCCAGTGCCCACCTAGCGCCCAGGAAGCAGAGCGGTTTGGCAGAGAAGGGGAGCCAATGGGCAAAGACAACTGAGAAAAGCCTGCTGGGGGGGGGGGCTGGGGCCCCAGCTGGGCTTGAAGAACTGGAATAACTAGTTCTCTCAAGACTGCATTGCAGAAGAATCTGAGGCATGAGGTGGTGTGATGGTCTCCATGGTAGCTCTCGCGAGGTCCTGTGTGGACGCTGCTTGGCCTCTGTCCTCAGCCACTGTTGGACACTGGACCCGGCCGTGCCAGGGAGAACCCACGGGGCCCCGGGACCCTTCCCGGATCCCTGGGGGCTCGAAGGAAGGATGTGAAGCAAGAGGCATGAGCTCAGATGTGGGGGGGCGGGGAGCCCCACATAACTGGTGCAGTGAAGGCAGTCATCCCTGGTCCAGCCTGGGGCCAACAGCAGTAGAAGGGGTGTACTGAGTCAGAAGGCAGAGGAGAGGCAGCGGAGAGGCGTTACCTTGCTGGGACAGCCCCTGCCAACTGTAGGGGTCTCCACGCCTGCTCAGGTGGTCCCAGAGCTCTGGGGTGAACAGGCCCCCCCACAGCAGCACTGGTGTGGAGAGATTAAACAGCCCCCGGAAGCGCTGGTGACGCTGAATGGCCAGGGAGAGTGAGCGCTGGCAGGGCTGGTTCTGCGGGTGAGAAGAGGGGGCTGAGCCCTGTTATGTGAGGGTGGGGGGAGCCCACAGACCCCACAGGACAGTTGGGGGGGAAGAGCCTCCCTTCCCCCTTCCAGCCTGGAGCCACCCCTGGGTCTGCTGGCTCAGGTCAAGTTTGTGGCCCAACAGCCAGGTAGGTGGGTATTCGAGAGTTTTCTGGATTTAGCCAGGCCAGTCCTTTCTCTCCTAGATGCCATCCAAGCTCCTCTAACGCTTGAGAGCAACCTTTGGGTGCATGTGTTCAGCCTATTGAGCATCACCCCTCCCCAATCTCTCCTCTCCCACCTGAGATGGGATTTATGGTTTGCACATAAAGACCCCTCCCAAAGGATTCTGGGTTAAGGCTCCAACCTGGAGCCAGTTTAGCTCAGGAGAGCTCTGCCTTCGTCAGTGAGGCGTTCCCTAGATGAGTTTATAATTTAAGGGCATTATTGGGCGGTTGTAGAAATGTGTAGAGGTGAGACCTAGGTTTCCCCCCTCTGTTTCTCTCTCCCCTGACACAGGCTGTCTGCTATAATGTCAGTGATGCTCTCCCTCAGCTTAGGTCTCTGAAACAATCGAGTCACATGACACACACCTGAAACTTCAGAAGCCGTGAGCTGGAAAGACAACTTTTCCCCTTTTAGCTTTTTTTTTTTTTTTTTTTTTAATCAAAGAAAAAACTAGCGACCGAAGTGACCTGACTTAGAAACTGGGTCTTTGCAGGTGTCCTTGAGGCCTCTATGGGCCTCGGCGGTCCTGTGACGATGGAGGTAGAGACTGGGGTGGTGCACCTACACACAAGGAATGTGTGGAGCCCCCAGAAGCTGGGGTAAGGCCAGGGGCGCTAACTCAGAACGGGGTGGGGGGTGATCCTGCGAGCACCTTCGCACAGCCAGCCCCCATCTGCAGCCATTTGTTCCAGCAGCAATAGGGAATCCAGAGGCATGGAGGGAGGGAGGGAGGGAGGGAGGGAGGGAGGGAGTCTCCAGAGGCCCCAGCCTAATCTATTGCTTCAGTATCAGAATTAATATCAGAATCTCACAGAGCCTGACCTGGGGGAGGGTACTAGTACTTCTGAACAAAGCCTGTTGTGTGTAGCTGTCGGTCAAAAGGGAGAGCAAAAGAATTTCTGTTCAGCTATTTCGGCTCTAATGTAATGTATGAATGTCTAAAATTACCAAGGTTTGCAAAACTGCAGCCAAAACCCCACAAAACTGAGCTGGCCACCCATGGCTCACACCTGTCATCCTAAATACTCAGGAGGCTGAGATCTAAGGATCGTGGTTCAAAGCCAGCCCGAGCAGGAAAGTCCTTGAGACTCTCATCTCTAGTAAACCACCAGAAAACCAGAATTAGTGCTGTGGCTCAAAGTTTGAGTGCTAACCTTGAGCAAAAGAACTCGGGGACCATACCCAAACCCTGAGTTCAAGTCCCTGACCAAAAAAAAAAAAAAAGCTGGAAGTGAAGCTGTGGCTCAAGTGGAAGCAAGCTAGCCTTGAGCATGTAGGCCCTGAGTTCAAGCCCCTGGACCAGCAAAAAACAACAACAAAAACAAAAAAGCAACCCCTCCCCACAGGATTAGCCCACCAAAAACCCCCAAACAAATCAAGACTAGCTAGATGCCATGGCTCACACCTATAATCCTAGCTACTCAGGAGGCTGAGATCTGAGGATCAAGGTCAAAATAAATGCAGGCAAAAAGCCCATGAAACTCTTACCTCCAAGTAACCACTAGATAGACAGATAGATAGATTAAAAATCTTAAAAACAGGGGTTGGGAAGGTGGCTCAGTGGTAGAGCGCTTGCATTGCATGCATGAGGCCCTGGGTTCGATTCCTCAACACCACATAAGCAAAAAGAAAAAAGACGGAAGTGGCGCTGTGGCTCAAGTGGTAGAGCGCTAGCCTTGAGCTGAAATGCTGAGGGACAGTGCCCAGGCCCAGAGTTCAGGCCCCACAACCGGGCCCCCCCCAAAAAAAATCTTTAAAACAAAACAAAAACTCCAAAGTGCAGCTGTGATTCAAGTAGTAGAGTGTCAGCCTGAGCAGAAAAAGCCAAACAGGAGAACAAGACTTTGAGTTCAAACTCCAGTACTGGCATGAAATAAACACACACAACACAAACCAGATAGGGAGACATGTCTGTTGGCATCAAGTAGCTTGAGGTTGAAAAAGTTTTGGGAAACAAAGATGACCTGATCCAAGCACTCAGAGGAGGCAGCCTGCTGGCCAAGCGTCCATTAGCTTCCGTTCTTGCTCAGTGTCTGCACCTTCAGCCTTCACTAAGCTCTTGTATGCACTGAAGTCTTTTCTCCTTGAGTCCCTGAGTCTCGGGTCACATGCCCCAGTTCAGCCTCTTGGGAGCTGAAAACAACTCTAAGCCTGTGTTAATCCTTTATGGGTCAGCAGTGCACAGAGCTGGTAGCAGGGGAGGGGGAGGCCAGGCCCCTATCCCAGGACCAAGGCAAGGCAGGGGAACTGCTCCATCCACCAGTTAATCATCTGGGATCGCTACCTCCTAGCTCTCCATTCCAAGAGAACGTGGGTAAAGAGCTCTGCAGGTATTACTTAGGGTTGTGGGCTAGAGTCCTGACGTTATTGAACCTTCTGAGCAACAATGCCACATCTGGCCCGAATTTGGAGATAATTCCCCGTAGTGAGTAGTTTGAATGTGATTTATAGTTAAAAGTCATTTCTAGGGGTAGAGTGTAAAATCCACCTGCCCCTACCCCTTTTTTTTTTTTCAGTTCTGAAGTTTGAACTCAGGGCTTCAAGCTTGCTGGAGAGGTGTTCTGCCACTTGAGCCATTCCTCCAGCCTTTTTTGTTCTGGTTATTTATTTGCCAGTCCTAGGACTGGAACTCTACGCCTGGTCCCCGTCCCTGAGTTCCTTCAGCTCAAGGCTAGTGCTCTACCACTGGAGCCTCAGCTCCACTCCCAGCTTTTTCTGTGATTAGCTGGAGATGAGAGTCTCACAGACTTCCTGCTTGAGCTGGCTTTGAACCGCAATCCTCAGAGCTCAGCCTCCTGAGTAGCTAAGGATTCCAGGCATGAGCTAACTGGACCCTGCTTGCTCTGGTTAATTTTTTGAAATAGGGTCTCAATTTTGCCCAGCCAGCTCCAGGACTGTGATCTTCCTATCCATGCTTGCCACTGTAGCTGGCTGACAGGTGTGTGTTGATATGCCTAGCCTTTTCTGTTGAGATGAGAGTTGTGATTTTTTTTTGGGGGGGGTGGGAGGCAGGAGCCTGGGCTGGCCTGGATCATCATCATTTTTTTTTTTGTCGGTCATGGGGCCTGAACCCTGGGCCTGAGCGCTGTCCCTCAGCTCTTCAGCTCAAGGCTAAGCACTCTACCACTTGAGCCACAGCGCCACTTCCGGCTTTTTTCTTTTTGCTTATGTGGTGCTGAGGCATCGAACCCAGGGCCCCATGCATGCAAGGCAAGCACTCTACCACTGAGCCACCTTCCCAGCCCCCCTGAACGCTTCTTAATCTCAGATTCACCTATAGCTGACAGGACAGGTGTGAGCCATCAGCTTCTGGCTCTACCTGACCAATTCAGGTGCAAACTACCAAGAACTTTTCCATTGGCTAGACTCCAGCAGAACTTACTTATTCATCCTTCTGTGCTTTAGGAGTAAAGGATACCCTGGTGGTTGGGTCTGAGGTACTTCAAGTTTATCAGCAGCTCAGCGTGGAGCTCAGGCCACTCAGACTCAGCAATCTCAAGAGGATGTTCTAGTGTGCTCAGCTCTCCCCTCTTCCCCCCTAACCTGAGGATGTGGAAAACTGCCATGGGGTGACTGAACACTGTACCTTTCTGGGCCCAGACTTCCATGTCTTGGTTTGAAAGAATGCTTGAGTTGACACGAGGTGCCTGGAGGAAATGGCAGAAATAAAGCACGGGTTTGGCTTGGTACAAGCACCCCTGGGAATGGCACCCCGCCCCCGGGGAAGCTTCTGGACTGACTCCCTTGGCTCTGGGGCTGACCAAAAATAGACACCATTTGGTGTCTTTTTCTATGTTTCTTGCTGATCCTGGGGCTTGAAATCCAGGCCTGGGCGTTGTCCCTGAGCTTTTGTGCTCAAGGCTAATGCTCTACCACTTGAGCCACAGCTCCACTTCTAGATTTTGGGTGGTTAATTAGAGATCAGAGTCTCACAGGATCTCAAAGCCAGGGCTGGCTTTGAATGGTGATCCTCAGATCTCAGCCTCCTGAGAAGCTAGGGTTACAGGCGTGAGCCTCCACCGGCACCCACATGTTTGTTCTTTTGACCTTTCTGTTTCCACTTTCTAGTCTTGTCCAAATCTTTTTTTTTGGGGGGTCTGGTCATGGGGTCCGAACTCTGGGCCTGGGTGCTGTCCCTCAGCTCTTCAGCTCAAAGCTAGCGCTCTACCACTTTAGCCACAGTGCCACTTCCAGCTTTTTGTTTTGCTTATGTGGTGCTGAGGAATCGAACCCAGGGCCTCATGCATGCAAGGCAAGCGCTCTACCACTGAGCCACCTTCCCAGCCCCCTCTTGTTCAAATCTTTCAGCATGTAAAATACTAAATACTGTCACAAATGAGAGAAACCTCTCAATGAGTGGGAGAAATGTGAAATTCACAGGAACAGATAAATGGTTAAAATGTGAAAATGTTAAGCAAGAAAGACTGCTGGCCCTGGGTTTGTGACTGTGGGGGCGGGAGAGTTGTCCAAGTCCAGAGAATGAGGTCCTCTGCGTGTGCCCTGCTCCTGCAGCTTTCTCCTGGTGGAGGGCGTGGCTTTGTCTCCTGACTCTACCACTTGCTGGCAGAACAGTCTCAGTGTCTGCATCTCTACAATAGGACCAAGGTGGTGCTGGGCTCCTAAGTCTCCTCTGTCACTATTGTTCCTGAATGAGGAAGGCAAAGAACGTCTCTCTGACTGTCCATTCTGGAGAGGTGTAAGGGACTCCCGATTCTGAAAGACTAAGCAGAGGCCCCCACTGTAGGGTGGAGGGACAGTGAGAAAGAAATAAAGCCACTGAACCATCCAAAGGCAGCTGTTACGCCAGCAGCCACGAGGAAGCAGGCGGCAAGAACCTGGGACCAGTTCTTTGCAAAAGCCTCAAAGGCCTCTTGTTGGTGCTGAGACAAACTCAGGTGATCTGACTCACTGTGGTTTTCCAGGTTTCCTCAAAGGGCTTGGAGGGGCAGCGGGTGGGAAGCGCAGAGAACTGGCCACCTGTCACTCACAGAGCCCTGAAGCCCCACCCCCTGGTGCACCATGACACTCTCCCCAAGAAGGGGGGGGTTTGCTTAGTGTAGGCTGCCCAGGAGAGCCCCTGGGGACAAGTCACTGTTCCCTGCCACCCCAGGAGATTCTGATCCATGGATTCCAATCCCACCCCCACTCCCCACCCCACCCCGCCCCTGCCAGGCAAGTCCAATGAGCACCTGGCTGAATGGGGTAAACTTTAGACCAAGTGGGAGTCTGCAGGGGTGGGGAGAGGGAGGAAGAAGGTAGATGACAACCAGGACTGCTCCAGTTCCTTCCTTCCCTCCTTCCTTCCTTCCTTCCCTCCTTCATTCCCTACTTCCTTCCTTCCTTCCTTCCCTCCTTCATTCCCTACTTCCTTCCTTCCTTCCCTCCTTCCTCCCTCCCTGCCTTCCTTCCTTCCCTCCTTCCTCTCTCTTTCAATGCCAGTGTTGGGGTTTGAACTCAGGGCCCCCATGCTTTTGCTGGAATTTTTTGCTCAGCTGGCACTCTACCACTTGAGCCACAGCTCCACTTTTGGATTTTTGCTGGTTTGGAACTGTGATCCTCAGATCTCAGCCTCCTGAGAAGCTAGGATCACAGTGTGAACCACTCAACATAGTGCTTTTTTTCTTTTCTTTTCTTTTCTTTTTTGTCAGTTGTGGGGCTTGAACTCAGGGCCTGGGTGCTGTCACTGCACTCTTCAGCTCAAGGTGAGCGCTCTACCACTTGAGCCACAGCACTACTCCTGTTTTCTGGTGGTTTATTGGAGATAAGAGTCTTATGGACTTTCCTATCCAGGCTGGCTTTGATCCTCAGATCTCAGCCTCCTGAGTAGCTAGGATTACAGGTGTCAGCCACTGGCGCCTGGCATGCATAGTGCCTTTTTGATAAAACTAAATTTCCTCAACTGAGGTTATATTGTTACTGACTTGGGACCCTTTTGCAAAATGTTAACAATAGATTGTAACTGACAGCCCTGTGTTAACCCTTATCCCATCTCTATTAAAACAAAAAAGAATTCTAGCCTGGCCCTGGTGGCCCTGACACCTATAATCTTAGCTACTCAGGAGGCTGAGATCTGAGGATTGTGGTTCAAAGCCAGCCCAGGCAGGAAAGTCCATGAGACTCTTATCCCCAATGAACTTGCAAAAAGTCAGAAGTAGAGCTGAGGCTCAAGTGGTAGAGAAATGGCCTGAAGCAAAAAAAAAAAAAAAAAAAAAAGCTCAGGGATAACACCCAGACCCTGAACCATGAATTCAAGCCCCAGGAGAGACAGGCGCGCACGCGCGCGCGCGCACACACACACACACACACGAAAGGAACAGTTCTAGAAATTCTCCTGTCTCTGAGGAGCCCTCATGAACCGTGAGTAGATTTCGGATTAGACTCTTCTCAGGTGCTGTGAGAGCCCCCTCTTTGGGCTCCTCAGACCCTGTCCCAGCAACTCTTCCTGAACTGTCCTCAGGCTTCCTGGCAGCGAAGCCGGCTGGCACTACCCAGAAGGCCATTCATCTCCCATCCTGCTTCATACCTGCGCTAAATATCCACCTACTCACCACCTACCCTGGGAGCTGTCCTGCCCTGCCCTGTCCTGCCCTGGAGTTGAAGCTGGAACACACACACACAAACATCACCGAGGAACAGCAGGAAATGGGCAGGTTCCTGAGTCATACTGATTTTGGAGAGAGAGAGAGAGAGAGAGAGGAGGAGGGGAGAGGAGAGGAGAGGAGAGGAGAGAGAGGAGAGAAGAGAGTGGAGAGGGGAAGAAGGAGAAAGAGGAAAAAGAAAAAGAGGAGGTAGAAGAGGAGGAGGAGGAGGAGAAGGAAGAAGAAGAAAAGAAAGCTAGCTTTGTTGAGATAGAATGGAAACATCCAAAACTGAATATAAGTTATCTTAGGTGTTTTTTTTTTTTTTTTGTCGGTCGTGGGGCTTGAACTCTGGGCCTGGGTGCTGTCCCTCAGCTCTTCAGCTCAA